GTCCCCGTCCCCCTCGCGACATCGGGCCATCGCCACACCGGACTCACAGCAGGGCCCTGGGAGAAAAGCCAGGACCCGTCTGCCCTTGACGCTGGCAGGGTGATGCCCAGCTTGTGCAGATTCACGCTATAGCCCCTCCAGTTAGCACGCTAAAGCCGGAGGTGTACACGCCGCATCGTACACAGCGGCAGCTCAGGCTAGTACAGACCCATCTGGATGCTGTGGGTACGGATGGGGGCAGCTAGCCTGTGGCACGGCTCCCGCTGCCCGTGCCACCACTGGGCCCACTCGGTGAGAACCTCCTGCCAGCTGGGAATCGCCCCCTAGCTCTGGGTAGGGGCAGCCACAGAGCCGGAGTGTAGGAATTGGCCTCTTTCTGCAGCCTCCCAGCCGGGTGACCTGGGCTTCCCTCTCCAACAACATGCCAAGGAGTCCCTGGCTCGCCCATGCCCCTCACCCAGCCCATGGCCATATACCAGGGAACACAGGCTGGAGAGAATGCCCCGGGCTCCCCTTTCTATTGCCTGGGCACCAGGCTGCCCTTGGCACTCCCTCAGTCCCTTGAACTCCAGGCTGCCTGCTGTCCTGGGCCCAGCCGAGACGCGGATTACCGCCTGTTCAAGAAACCGAGGCTGTAGGAGCTGCCGCATCGCCCCTGGGGCTCTGGGGACCCCTGCACCCCGAGCCCAGGAAGCCAGAGCAGGGCCATGTGCTGGGACGTTAGTTCTGGGAATGGGACCGGCTGAGCCGTTCAAGGCCCAGTTGTTTTGGGGAGCTGGGTATCAAACACAGACACTGTAGCCGGCTGGGCACCCTGCCCTGAGCCGAAACGGCATCAGCCCCAGAGTAACCCGGGGGGAGGGGCGGCAGGTTCCTCCGCTGTCCGTGGACCCTGGGTCTGACCCTTCTGGGGGGTGATTTCTGCCCCCGGTGTTATGAGTCGAATGGGGATCAGGCCTTCGGTCTTCTTGGGCTTCGCACTGTGCTCTGGCTTCCTCTTCTCTCCCCATCTCCTATGATTCCCGCCTCAAAGCCCAGCTCCCCACCTGATCTGGGATGGAGGCAGGACTCTGCCCGCCCGAGCCAGGAGCACCATCCGATCACACCCACCGGCCCTCCAAAGATCTGTCCCTGCTTACCCCTTTCTCCACCCCCCATTGACTGCCCTTTCCCTGCCCGGCTGGGAGGCCAGGGACCCAGGAAAGCTTGTGCCTTTGGGAGGGAGCTGGGAGGGTTTGTTGGTCAACCAACGAATGGAGCCACTGGCTCTGTCTGTGGCCTGTCTCTCTCTGCGGATGTGCCCCACCAGCCCAACGGGGCCTGGTCAGAACAGGGGGCCTTGGGCGCTCCCATCCCACCCTCCCTTCCATGGGGCTGTGTCCAGGCAGGTTGTGCTGAGAGCGCAGGACGGCTGCAGGGTGGTCGGGGGCGGGGGGTGGTGTCCTCCTACCATCCTGCTTCTCCAGGAGAAGCTGTGCTGGGTCACCACAGCCACACAGATGACCAGGGCCAGAAGGACACAGGTGTACAACACCCAGGAGCTGTCCCAGCAGCCACAGAACCAGCTCTGCGTGATCCCCACCCCCGCGCCAAACATGGCACTGGTCTGGACGCGAGCTGGGGTGGAGATGCTGCGCTCCTTGCTGCCGCTGCGGCTGGATCTCTGCTGAGGGGCTGTTTGTTCCAGTGGCGCATCATAAAGGGGCAGGACCAGGTGGGTCCTGACATCACAAAGCCACTGCAGGCATCAGAGGTGGGCAAGACCCTCCCTGCAGCCCCTCCCCAGCACTCCAGGTAGGTACTTAGAGACTGTGACCGAGTCACCCCGTAACCTTCTCTTCGTCAAGCGAAAGAGATTGAGCTCCATGGGTCTCTCACTAGGAGGCAGGGTTTCTAACCTTTGAATCATTCTTGAGGCTTTTTTCTGACTTCTCTTTCATCAACAACATCCTTCTGGAATGGTGTTCGCCAGCATAACCCCTTGGAGAATGGCATTAAATTGGATTAACACCACAGTGAATGAGGCAGGTGCTGTGAGGCTCCGGATGGGATGGGTTCCCTGGCCGGGTGTCTGTCTGTCAACATTCACTGGTCGCTGTCGGAAGACATGATACTGGGCTAGATGGACCTTTTGTCTGAGCCAATATGGCCTTTCCTATGTTCTTATGTGCCACCATCTTCCACCCTGGCACTGTTCAATTCAGAGACAAGGAGAGGAGAATTTTCAGAAGAAAATCTGATTAAGCAATTCTCTGCTCAGTATGACTAAGGACACCGCCATTTACTGTACATATTCACACAGCATTGCCCATGCTTGCATTTTATCCGGAGATTCACTGTATTTGATGCAAAGCCTCAACTGCTGGAGTCACGTGATTATACAAGACTCTCAGCTTCCATGACAACAATAAGTAAGTTTCTGGCATTCATGGTTGTTCAGAAAAGAAACAAATGTGACCCAAGTGCATCCTAAAGACTGAAAACCCAGAAGGTGAATAAACAGAATTCAAATTTATTATTTTTTTTAAAAAAATCATGGTTTTGGAACCAATCTCTTGATTCTGGGAGGGCCTGACTCAAGAATTTTGCACTCTGGAGGTTCACAATACTGAAATTATATAGTACAAACTGTTCTGTTCGCAACACATTTGTGACCTCTTGAGAACCCTTTTATTTTTCATGTAGAGTTTAAATAAATAAAAATAAACTGAGTTGTGGAGTTTTATTTTTGATAAATCTGGGAATTAAAGCAACACCCATTTCTGTGTTATTATGAGAGCTGGTCCAAATTTTCAAAAGAAATATATTTGCTGATTTTTTTTTCAAAACCAATACATTTGTACAACAAATGATTGATATTGTCAAAATTCTTCATCCCCCTGCCAAAATATGGTTTTATTTGATTATATTTTCTAAAAATTTATCCAACAATGTGTTGACATCTTTTCTTTCATGAACAACCATTTGATTGTGATTTTATAACAATGTTTTGGGAGAAACACAACTGGACCATTTAAAAAATGTTTCATAGAATCATAGAATATCAGGGTTGGAAGGGACCTCAGGAGGTCATCTAGTCCAGCCCCCTGCTCAAAGCAGGACCAATCCCCCGCTAAATCATCCCAGCCAGGGCTTTGTCAAGCCTGATCTTAAAAACCTCTAGGGAAGGAGATTCCACCACCTCCCTAGGTAACCCATTCCAGTGCTTCACCACCCTCCAGACTTGTTTTCAATCTCCCTCCCAAACAACACTTTCTTATCGACTTTCTCTACACCAGTCATGATTTTATAGACCTCAATCATCTCTCCCCTTAGCAGTCTCTTTTCCAAGCTGAAAAGTCCCAGTCTTATTAATCTCTCCTCATATGGCAGCCGTTCCATACCCCTAATAATTTTTGTTGCTCTTTTCTGAATCTTTTCCAATTCCAATATATCTTTTTTGAGATGGGGTGACCACATCTGTACACAGTATTCAAGATGTGGGCGTACCATGGATTTACATAGAGGCAACATGCTATTTTCTGTCCTATTATCTATCCCTTTCGTAGTGATTCTCAGCATTCTGTTCATTTTTTTGACCACTGCTGCACATTGAATGGATGTTTTCAGAGAACTAGCCACAATGACTCCAGGATCTCTTTGCACCCTTTGATCACATGCACTGCAGTAGCCTCTCCCCTCTGAGAATAATGTTGTGGCGGACCCTGCTTCCCCATGACCCTGTATGTGCTGTGATGTATAAAGATGGTCTGATGGTTAGGGGGCTAGGCTGGGAAATGGGGGATTAAGGTTCTATTCCCAACTTGGCAGCTGGGGGTGGGGTGGGGTGGGGCTCAGGGAGAAGGGGTGGGGGCAGGGCCTCGGGGAGAAGGGGCGGGATGGGGGCAAGGCCTTGGGGAGAAGGGGTGGGGTGGGGGCTGGGACTTGGGGCTCAGGGTGGCGTGGGGACAGGGCCATGGGGAGAAGGGGTTACGTGAGGGCAGGGCCTCGGGGAGAAGGTTTGGGGGCAGGGGTTCAGGGAGAAGGGGCAGGGTGGGAGGAGGACCTTGGGGAAAAGGGGTGGCATGGGGACAGGGTCTCGGGGAAAAGGGTGGCGTGGGAACAGGGCCTCAGGGAGAAGTGTGCCAGGCTCAGTTATAATGACATGGGCCTTTATCTTCAAAGAGTGTTTAGGCCACTAACCCCCAGTGATAAGATTTAGACCCTGGTCCTTGTGCCAATGGGCTGGCAATGTAATTTCCAGCATGGCACATGGCAGGGGGCAGGGGCAAACAGTGGTGCATAGGAGATGGACAAAGAAGGACCAAGGTTTCAGCCAGCTGGTTATTTACTGAGGTCCCCACTTCAGCAAAGTGCCTTGACTTCAGTGGAATTCGAAGCACGTTAATTGTGTAGCTGTACTGGGCCCAGAGTGTGTGTGTGTGTGGGGGTGGTGGTGGGGGCTTGAACTGGAAAAATGCACCAGCTTCCTTGGAATATCAAGGGAAGATAAAGTCACACAGGGGTCTGTTCTCTGGTACTGTCCAATGAGAATTGGGGCTCCCATGGGCTCCACTTAAGGGGATCTAAGGAGAATGATTCATGGATTCCAAGTCCAGAAGGGACCATCGTGATCATCTAGTTTGACTCTCTATATAGCACAGGCCAGAGACCAGCCCCACAATAATTCCTAGAGCAGAGCTTTTAGAAAAAAACAGCCAATCGTGATTCAAAAATTGTCAAGTGATGGAGAATCCACCAAGAGCCTGGATAAATCTCTTAGGGGAAGATTTATTAAAGGGGATACTCTATATCCTAGGCAAGAGAAGAGGATAGACGTTGACAAAGTGCATTAGGGTGTTAAGGAAAAGTTAGCATATGTGCATATGTGACTCCATTTCGGTTTGGGGCCCACCATTGTCTAAAAGCAAGCACATCATGCACCAGGAGGAGTGTTCCTTAGATACTGCATTCCTATGAACCCCCCTCCCCCTTGTTTCCAGCCTGTCTCGACTCCCAGTTTCTGTTCTTTGTCTGTTCCTAACTCCCTGCCTCCTGGCCTTGATATGAGCCTCCCATCCTGATAAGAAAGGCTACTGGTGCATTGCTTTAGGACCATGTTGTGTAGTTAAAGTAATGGTTTAGCACGAGGGATGCACTTAGCAGGGATAGGTGGTAGATAAGGGAAGGGTTTGTCTATTGGCTAAGGTTTCCAATGCACGAGGGCAACATGCTTTGCTAAAAGGTGTATAATCTCTGTATAACCTGCATTCGGGGTCCCCTCCTGATTAGCAGGGGGGCACCACGCTCAAGCATAATAAACTTAGTATCTTTGGGAACTCTGCAGTTGTGGACTTTGTTCGTGTGCCTCAGCCTAGACTCAAACTGTGCGTGACCTATCGGGTATAATTCGCAGCAGTTCTTGTGCGTGACCTGTGAGGTATAATTCGCAGCAGTTTCTGTGCGTGACCTGTCAGGTATAATTCGCAGCAGTTTCTGTGCGTGACCAATTAGGTATAATTCGTAACAGTGTTGGCGACCACGAAGGGACTCTAGGCTCGCCCCAACAAGCAAGGCTACACTCCTCCTCTCGGACAGCTCCAGCCGGCACAGGGTGAGTTCATTTTTAAGAACTCCAAGGAACGGGGGTGTGAGCTGTCGCTTAGGCGATAAGGTGGCACATTTGGTGTCCTTTTGGTAGCCCATTATGGTTTCTGGGCAGAGTGTAAGTAAGGGGACCCCTTTGGCTAAAATTCTCAAAAACTGGGAAAATATTTCTGGTACCCATGGGTTAGGCTAAAAAAAAAAAAAGCTGTAATCTTGTTCAAGGTTAAGTGGCCAGCACTAACAACTCAAACACCTTTCAAATGGCCACCAAATGGTTCCTTTGCTGGGAAAAAATTAACAGCACTTAGAAAAAGGCTGGAGAACAAAGCTCCAGCCCAGATATATTATTGGTATGTATGGGACAACTGGACTTATGCACGTGCAAAAGGACGTCCTCTTTCCTCCTCCTTTTCTTATTCATCTCAGGGGTCTCCAGCCCTGCTGTGTGCTATGCCTGCTTCTGCTCCTCCTCCGGCTTACCCTCGGCTTTCTGACCTATGCCCGTCACCTCCTTGCTTGCCAATTGGCCATGCGTTCTGTTCAGGTGACAAGCCTCACGGGGGAGAACTCGGGTAGCCCTTGTAAGTAAAAATATTTTAAAAAAGAGACCAGAAGTGCTGGGGGGCTAGTTAAAAAGCCCACCCTCCTTGTTAAATTGGTAGTGGGACAAGGCTGGTGCTCATGAAAGGAACAGTTCAAAAAGAAAAACAAAATCGGGCCCAAGCAGGCAGGCAACAAATAAAAAAATTAAAAAACAGGTTGGAAACTTGAAGGTCATAGTGAAAAAAAAGAAATAAATAATTTCAAAAATAAAAAACGTAAATCCCAAAATAATACTTAAAATGGTAACATCTAAGTTAATTGGGTGTTTGGGAGATAAGCAAGTAATTTAAAAAAGGAAAGTAAAAAGTTAACTCTGTAGTTGCTAAAAAAAATTAAGCAGTTAAACTTTGTAAAATACTAAAAAAAAAAAAAGAATTATTGGTTTCTTTGCAGCCATTTTGGGGGAAATGGGCCCTTTTCCAAAGGAATGCAATTATACAGTGCTACTTAATTAATATCTTATTAGGCTCCAAGGAGCTACAATAGGTGGTATCTTCCTTTTCAGGTCGCTGTGTGTTTAACAGCAAAAGTTAAAAGTAAAAGGCAATCAAAAGTCTGGTAAAGTTTATTTTGCCTTTTTAAAGTAAAAATCTTTAAGCTGTGGATCCAAAAGCAAGCCAAAAAGCATTTGTTTTAATGTAAATTACCTAACTAATAAGGTAAAAGCCACTAAAACCTTGGCTGCCTATAAAACAAATACAAAAAAATATGTGTAATTCCTCAGTTTTGCCTGCAATTAACAAGGGTATTTGTATAAAAAAAAATATTTTAAGCAATGACTGACTGCCCAGAAGGGGTAAATCTGTGTTCTTTTTGTCATTCAAAAAATAAAAAAAAACTGATGCCAGCTGAAAAGCAATTCAACATCTCATGAATTTACTGGCACAATAGGAATTCTGTTCTGTGTTCTATGTCCTGTCTTGTGATGTTTGTCTTGTGGCCAAAATTGCTGTGTTTAATTTTTCATAGAACAGTTTAGTTTAAAACTAAATAGAAGGGTTAAATCAAAATGCAGATACTTGTTTTATTCAACTTGAAATACAAAGTGTTTAAATAATATAAAAAAATGTAATATACCAAAGTTTAATACATTTGCTTAAGTAAGAAAAAAAATTAATTGGCCAGATCTTTTAATTAAAAAAATTGTTGTTAAAATTTGCACACCAACAATCTTTAAAAGCAAGGACATGAAAGGTTAACCCACTCCCCATATTATACATGGGATCCTTCTGGCTACCTCAAATTTCTAGCCAAAGGGCTGGGGAGGGAGGAAAGCTATTGGACACCAGAGGTTGTACCAAGTGGACTCCTCAAAAGTGGGTGTGCTTGTCCTGGCTTGTTGCTCCAAAGCTCTGTAATAAAGTCATTTTCCTAAAAGGGTGTATGTAGCATACACTAAACAATAAAACTAAAGTGCTGTATAATGGGCAATGTACATGTGTTCATTTTTAAACAAAGATGTGTAAGTAAAAAATAAAAGTTTCCTTTGTAGGTTAATAAAAGCCAAAAAGAAAAAAAAAATAAAACAAAGGACAAGCTAATTCAACGCTGTAGCTGGCAGGCTCGGTCCAAAGATAAGACGCTGGCCTGCCCAAGGACACTACTCACAGCTAGAATTTGGCTAACAGCCAAAAAAGAGGGGGGCTTAAATGTGCCCAAGCAGCTGTGAGATCTGTAAAACACTGCCAAACATTAATAAAATGTGTGAGGTCTCTGTATTTACAGGTGAAAGAAGTCCTGCTCCAAGGATCCTAAGCAAACCTGCCATTTGTTAAAACCAGGTAACTGGGTCTAAATAAAGGTCCATCAACAAAAGACTACTCTGGCCCCATGCTGGAAAGGCCCTAATTAAGTCCTGCTAACTACCAACACTGCTGTGAAGTGCCAAGGACTGACTGCCTGGACCCATACTTCTTACTGCAAAAAGACCCCTCCAACTCGAGATGACTTCACTTCGACTACAGATCAGCCTGTCCCTCCTTCTGGGTTTTTTTTTTTTTCCTCCTTTTGGACAACAGGGAAAAGGACAAGGTAAAGTGCTAGTAACCTCTCCCTTGTCCACTAACAGAGCTAACCTGCATTCAGTATTTGCTAAAGAAACCAAAGCACTATAGGGTGACGTGCTAGTAACCTCTCCCCTGTATAATGCAAAACCATGACTGTTCCAAGAGAGAAGAAGGAACGCCTGCTCTGCTGAAACCACCAAGACCCAAGAATTCCTAACTGCAAAAGACACTAAAAATTGGCCTTGGTGGCAAAGACGGAGCATTGTACATTGGCAGGGAGGAAGTTGCGGGATGTATTCTTGGGAATGTGAAGTGAAGTGGTGGGGTGGGTTTATTCCAGGGGCTGAAATCTGTGCTTGTGGGCAAGTATAAATACCAAAAACGCCTTACAGCCATGAACATTACTCCCACCATCTGCCACCACTCCTTTGGTTTGGGGATATTGATATAACAGGCATCACAGAAATGTGATGGAACGATGATAATGAATGGGACAGGGTAATACCAGGGCACAAAATGTAGACTAGAAATGACAGAGTAGGTTGTGCTGGTAGGGGAGTGGCACTATGTGTGAAAGAAAGAGAATGTCAAATATAGGAAAAATCTTAAATGAATCAAACTGAACCATAGAATATGGATAGAAATTCCATGCTTGGATAAGAGTATAGCAATAGGAATATATTACTGACCAGGATGGTGGCAGTGACTGTGAAATGCTCAGGGACATTAGAGAGGTTACAATAACAAAAAATCCCAATAATAATAGGGGATTTCAACTATCCCTGTATTGACTAGGTACATGTCATAGAATCGCAGAATCATAGAATCATAGAATATCAGGGTTGGAAGGGACCTCAGGGGGTCATCTAGTCCAACCCCCTGCTCAAAGCAGGACCAATCCCCAACTAAATCATCCCAGCCAGGGCTCTGTCAAGCCTGACCTTAAAAACCTCTAAGGAAGGAGATTCCACCACCTGCCTAGGTAACGCATTCCAGTGTTTCACCACCCTCCTAGTGAAAAAGTTTTTCCTAATATCCAACCTAAACCTCCCCCACTGCAACTTGAGACCATTACTCCTTGTCCTGTCCTCTTCTACCACTGAGAACAGTCTAGAACCATCCTCTCTGGAACCACCTCTCAGGTAATTGAAAGCAGCTATCAAATCCCCCCTCATTCTTCTCTTCTGCAGACTAAACAATCCCAGTTCCCTCAGCCTCTCCTCATAAGTCATGTGTTCCAGACCCCTAATCATTTTTGTTGCCCTTCGCTGGACTCTCTCCAATTTATCCACATCCTTCTTGTAGTGTGGGGCCCAAAACTGGACACAGTACTCCAGATGCGACCTCACCAATGCCGAATAGAGGGGGACGATCACGTCCCTCGATCTGCTCGCTATGCCCCTTGTCACCTCAGGACGGGATGCAGAGAGAAAATTCTAGGTACCACTAATGACGGCTTCCTGGAGCAGCTAGTCTTGGAACCCACAAGGAGAGAGGAAATTCTTGATTTAGTCCTAAGTGGAGCACAGGGTCTGGTCCAAGAGGTGAATATATCTGCAGCACTTGGTAATAGTGACTATAATGTAATTCAATTTAACATCCTTGTAGGGAGGGAAATATCAACAAAGCTCACCAGGGTAACATTTAACTTCTGAAAGGGGAACTACGTAAGAATGAGGTAGTTAGTTAACGGACATTAAAAGGAAGAGTAACAAGAGTAAATTGCCTGCAAGCAGCATGGAAATAATTTAAAAACATCATAATAGAAGCTCAAACTAAATAATCACCACCACAGAAGAAACCCCAGGAAGATGTCCAAAAAACACCATTGTGGCTAAACAAGAGAGTACAAGAGGTGATTAGAGGCAAAAAGACATCTTTTAAAAATTGGAAGTCAAATCGTCCTGAGGAAAATAGAGAGGTGCATAACCAATGGCAGGTCAAGTGTAAGAGTAGAATTAGGCACGCCAAAAAAAGAATTTGAAGAACCACTTGAAAAAGACACAAAAACTGTCAGCAATTTTTTTTCAAAGTACGCCAGAAGCAGGAAGCCGGCCAAAGAGTGAGTGGGTCCCCTGGACGCTCGAGGTGCTGAAGGAGCAGACAAGGAAGATGAAGCTATTGCAGGGAGGATAAATGCATCAGTTTTCACTGCAGAGGATATGAGGGAGATTCTCGCACCTGATTCTTTTTAGGTGACAGATCTGAGGAACTGTCCCACAGTATCGTTAGAGGAGGTTTTTGGAACAAATTAAACCATAATAATTCACCAGGACCAGTTGGGATTCACCTAAGAGTTCTGAAGGAACGCAAATATTCAATTGAAAAATATTAATCATGGTATGTAACATATCACTTAAATCAACCTCTGTGCCAGGTGGCTGGTAGAGAGCTAATGTAATGCTGATTTTTAAAAAAGGCTCCAGAAGTGATTTTGGTACATGTAGGAAAGGGGGATCCAGTGGATACAGTGTACTTGGACTTTCAGAAAGCCTCTGACAAGGTCTCTCACCAAAGGCTCTTAAGCAAAGTAAATTGTCATGAGTTAAGAGGAAAGGTCCTCTCATGGATCAGTAACTGGTTAAAATAGGAAACAAAGGGCAGAAATAAATGGTCATTTTTAAGAATGGAGAGGAGTAACTAGTGGTGTCCCACATGGATCTGTACTGGGACCCATGCTGTTCAACATAGTCATAAGTGATCTGGAAAAAGGGGTAAACAGTGAGGTGGGAAAATTTCCAGTCGAGACAAAATTACTCAAGATAGTTAAATCCCAAACAGATTACAAAGAGATCTCACAAAACTGGGTGAGTGGGCAACAAAATGGCAGATGAAAGTCAGTGTTGACAAATGGAATGTAACGCACGTGGGAAAACATCATCCCAGCTACACATACAAAATGATGGGGTGTAAATGAGCTGTTACCACTTGAGAAAGAGATCTTGGAGTCATTACCCATAGTTCTTTGAAAACATCCACTCAATGTGCAGCAGCAGTCAAAAACCAAAACCAAAACCAAATCAAACTAACAGAATGTGAAGAACGGTTAGGAAAGGGATAGAAAATAAGACATAAAATATCATGTTGCCTCCATATAAATCCACGGTATGCCCAAACCTTGAATGCTGCTCGCTGTTCTGGGTGCCCCATCTCCCTATACTGGAGTTGGAAAAGGCACTGATGGATGGGCTGCTGCAGACAAGCCATTTCCAGGGGCTCCCTCTGTTACAGAGCTGGGGTAGCCACCCTAGCAGAAGTCCAGGGGGGTGCTGAGTGTGGGAGAGGCTGTTGGAGGGCGAGTGCTGCCACCTAGGGGTGTGGTCCTGTAGCACGAGGGACAGAGGTGCATTATTTGAGCTAGAGCTGGACTGGAAATCAGAGAGGTTTTTTCCCCCATGAAAAATTTTGACTCAGACAAAAATGTTTCCTTTTCACCCATTCAACGAATCATTTTTCTCTGAAAGCTCAGTTATGACTATACTGCCCAGCGGCAGCTGCCTGGATCCCCAAGAGAAACTGGAGGCTTTTCATCTGGCCTCGTCCTCGTCACATAAATGAAGTTTGGAGTGACGGAGTCTATGGCTTCACTCTGGGTATGGAAAGGTCAAAAGCTCCTGCCCAGTCCCCTGTACTCGTGGCAGGACTAAGTATTATATAGACCATTTCTGACCGGTGTTTGTCTGACCTGTTCTTAAAAATCTCCAATTATAGAGATTTCATAACATACCTGGGCAATTTCTTCCAGTGCTTAACCACCCTGACAGGTGAGAAGTTTTTCTCCTACTGGAACGATCCAAGGGTTAAAGCTGGTGCACACTAAGCCAAACAGCTGAGGTTCCCTGATGGCCAAGTGGCCCCCAAGGGAATGTGCCGGCACGTTTCATAAAGACACCTGCCTTCCTTTCTGAACAGATACTGCCTGCTGCCCATGCAACCGCTCCGATGACTCCTTGTCCTCTAGGATGAACACCTCTGGCGGCTCCTCTTCTAGCAGGTATTGGGTATGTTGGCAGGTTTCACTATATTTAAAATGTGAAGTGAAGGGTAAAGGCTGGAAGCTGTTTCCATTGGCAGATGTTCTGTGCAGCAGCAGAGGACTCAGCGGGGCGGTCAGAGTGACTCACTGACAGGGGCTGGAGGGAAGGCAGCACTTGGTAGCTTGGGAACCCCTCCCCGACATGTGCCCAGGTTCCTCGGTGGGTCATTCAAGCTACACAGAAAGCAGAGTATTAAAACCCTCATGGCCTGAGTCAGGATTTCTCTAGGGGTCTCGTGTGCTCTGGGCCCGATCCCGCCAGGGGCTGAGTGACAGGAGACCCCATGAAGAAAAGGAGTACTTGTGGCACCTTAGAGACTAACCAATTTATTTGAGCATGAGCTTTCGTGAGCTACAGCTCACTTCATCAGATGGAATATCAATAGCTAGTTCCCAAATGGCCTCAGGTTTATTTACTCCTGGAAATTTAATCAGCAAATGTATTTTCAAAGCTTTTATTTTCTGGCTCGATTGTGAAGGCGGGAATTCAGAGCTGTGTTGCTCTGTGGTAACAGATCTAATAGGGCATATTTCTGTTTCCTGACTGGCTGAGGGCTTCAGCAATTCTTCCCTCTAGATACCCCTCTGAGTTACAGGGCTACCTACATCTCTACCCTCTCTCAGGTCTCTGAGTCCACATGTCAGGCCTCATACCCTGCCCTCTCATGGGCTGGAATCCCATGGTTCTCCCCCCCTCAGACTCGGCCCTGGACTACAGCTCACTGCGGGTCGACTGTGCTTGCCGAGCAGGTCCCAGTGGGCTCGGCACCTGCGGTTCTTCCCTCTGGGAGTCTGTGACTAGTGGTGGGGCGAGTGACCAGCCAGCCTTCGAGAACCAAAATGCTGTTTAATCTCAGCAGTAGGGAGAACAAGGGAGTTTTCAAACAATAGTCTGTTCTCTTCTCTGTCCCCAAGCCCTCCCGCTCTGACGGGGACTCAGGCAGGCTGAGGGCCTTCCAGACTTCTCCAGCGCTGTCTGCGCCTGTCAGTCTGAAGAGCTTCTCAGTAACAGTTGCCCCACCTCTGGACAGACTCCCAGTGATGGCAAAATAAGCTGTGTAATGTGGCTGAGGCCCAGAACTAGGCTCTTCCCAGCTTGTAGCTTCTGTGGGGTCTCTCAACCTCCTTGAAGTGCTGACTGAGAGATGGCTTTTCTTGAGCTGTTGCTTCCCTTCCAGCTTATTTTCCAGCAGCCTGCTATGAAACTAAGGTGAGCCAGAGTGGTTTCACCCAGTACAACCATAACATCAACACCCCAATAGTTAACCGAATATAGCTCTACAGCAAACATCCCCAGACCTGGGTTTAAATACACATTCACTGTGGCAGCTTAGCCCCATGTCTGTCACTATGCCGTTCCCGGGTGCTACAGATTTTACAAATACAGGACATAGGCTGTCAGAGAGCAGCAGACTATTTCACGTGGGAAATGAAGTTGCACATGCACCTGGCTTTGAAATTGACTTCCTGCAAACCCTCTTTGTGGCTGAATAACAAGTGCTGGGGTTACTCTGTACTAGGTACTAGACCACTGGTTTTCAGTCTGTGATTTGTGGGCCACTGAGGGTCTGCAGACGATGTCTAAGATTTCCAAAGGTATTCACATTTGAAATTTGAAATTTGTTAGGGCTCCACAAATGAAAAACGCTGAAAAATAGAGAGTGAGAGCCCAGGGCATGAATATTTTCCATACTGATCCCAATGCCTGTTACCACTCCGGATACAGGCTACAAACTGACAGAACAGAACCTGAGGAGAACCAGTCAGATTAACCATGGGACAGGGGAGCTACTAGACTTTTGTTTGCTGGCAAACGATTGAATGAGGGCTGAGACGCTGCAATTTGTTCAGGGTCTGAAGAAATCCAGATGACAGACACTACATTTTAAGTCCCACTCCAACCTGAGAAATCATCTCTGAAGGAAGATCAAAGGGGAAAAGAATGGATTTACGTGTGAGCTACACCATAGATGTGTAAATGTTATAACTTTTGCTGTAGAAAGTATTTTAGAAGTACTCCAAATACTGTGTGCAATGGGTTTGTGCTATTAACTGTTTGTTCAGTGAACAGTTGGACGATACTGTCTCCTGATAACTGACCAGAAGCTTTTTCTCACACTTACATTCAGGCACAAAATACCTCTGCAATACACATGCTTGACCTTCCAAAAAGTCCTGAGAGACCAGAACTTCTCATCAGTGTTTCAGCAAAGCATAGAGCTGAGATGCAGAAAAGGGAAGGGTAATAGTGCTTGTATGTAATTTACACCCGTCACCTGTTACACGAGCATGGCTGAAATCATCAACAGACCCTTGCATGGGGAGAGGCTGCAGGTCCTGTGAGGATAAAGAGAAGCCTATAGGACGAACAAACTCTCTGGAGTCAGTCAACATTGGCCAGGCAAAGAACTTCAGCTTCTCTCTTGGAGGGATTCTTGGGGGTCCGAGAGCATCACTGGGAGAATTTGGAAAGGGAAAGTTAATAGAGCCCGGTTCTGATCGAATTTACACATGTAAATCTGGAGTGAAACCATTGAAGTCAATACTACTGAATTCAGAATCTGGTCCTAAGAATTTATCCCATGTGCTACAAAGAGGCAGTGGCATAATTTGGACTCTCAGGAGTGGAGAAGATAAAGAATATATATAATGAACCACTCCACGTTTATAAATTGCTTGAATGCAGGACAGATGTAGCCTGATCTAAAGATTATGAATAAAATTCTCAGTTATCCCTTTGAGGGTTGACAGGTTCTGGTCCCAAGATCAGGCCCGGTCAGATTCTTATGAAAGTGATCATAGGGTTGGGAACCCTGATGTGCCCAGGTGCAACACTCACACTATAGGAACTTTTTATATTTACAAATAAATAATCTATTAATACATTTAGCAAAGTCACAGACACAGTAAGGTAGATAGAGATAACACAGAATGCACATCTGAATATCCATATTGACACCATCCCTTGCTGAACAACCTGAAATGTTAGCCATTATCTTCCTCATCACTGTCACCGTTCTCATCTTCACCAGTGGCCATCATTCTGGCCCCTCCCAAGGTCAACATCTCTCCCCTGCTGCCCTGGGATGCCACTTTTATAATATGTTGCACTTACATTAGCATGTTGAATGCATATTTAATAGGGGTTTTTCCCCTGTTCCTTATACATATATCCTTCCCTTACCAATGTTAAGGTGTCCTTCTTCTATAGGTTAGTGTATTTATGATTTCACCCCATTATCATATACCTCAATTCATTGTCATGGCACTTTTGCGGTCAGATGTTCCATCCAAAACTTTCCAGAAGCTGGTGTCTGTTCATGTTCTATGGTTGGCTGATAGCGTTATGGATAAAATTCCCCTCCCTACACTTTACTTCCAGTTCCCCATAACTTGTGGGTTACCTAAGTTTATTTATGCCAAAGTTCATAGGTGTCAGGCCTCATGCTAACTGCTGAAGACAATGTCTTACAGGATACGAGCCTGTAGGGTCCATTACAGTTGAATATAATAAAGCAAAATATAATGAAAAAGCATTGTATGTAATAGAGATAAGCTGGTCCACTGGGCTACACAGATAAGTTTTCAGCAGGCATTTGCTATGGCATGATACAATGGGCCACACTCAGGAGTGGAGGGCCAGAAAGGGTGTTTGTGGGAAGGTCACGATACAATGCTCAAGTATGCTGCGGAACCCACAGCCACAAGATATCAATGGAACCAAGAGTTTAGCAGGATTCAAAGAGGGACGGGATGTTTATATGGGTATCCAGAAAATACAATTATAGGAATGAGGATTGTTTTAAAAAAGTCTGGAAGGGCTCTAAACTTTCCTGATTTACACCACAAAATATGTCTAACTAGTGGGTGACAGGGGGAAAGTTTCCCTGGGAGCAGGTTATCTCATAGCTGCCTACTGCAAGGCTTCTTCCACCTTCCTCTGCAGCATCTCATGGTGGCCACTGAATATTGGCTAGATGGACTATAGGTCTAATCCAGCCTAGCAGCGCCTATCTTCCTAGCAGTGGTGTAAATCCAAGACTATGTCTTTGCTGATCTTCCTTGAGCTCTTGAAAATCTCTAGACTTGCACTCAGAGCAGAATGATGTCTCATTAAATATCATCTAGTCTCCTGTTCTTTTTCCTTTTAGGAAGGAAAGTTCAAAACTCCTCGGACCTGTCCAGTACATTATGTCAGCTGTCAATGACACCAACTTCAACTCTGCAGTGTTACTTTTCACTGGGATACCTGGGCAGGAAGACGTCCATCTCTGGATTTCCATCCCCTTCTGCTTAATATATGTTATTTCAATATTAGGAAATTCAGTCATTCTGTTCATTATAAAAACAGATCCAACCCTCCATGAGCCCATGTACATTCTCCTTTCCATGTTGGCTGTCACAGACCTTGGTTTATTGATATCCACCATACCGTCAACACTGGCCGTATTCTTGTTTAACTCTAGGGAGATCAGCCTTGATGCCTGTTTTGCCCAGCTGTTCTTCATCCACTCGTTTTCGTTCACTGAATCCTCCATACTCCTACTGATGGCCTTTGACCGCTTCGTTGCAATCCATAACCCGCTGAGATATGCTTCCATCTTAACCCCATCAAGAATAGCCAAGATGGGGCTAGTGTTTGTGCTAAGAGGGGTGGCCGTAATATTCCCACTCCCCTTTCTCCTGAAACGCTACCGATACTGTCGAATCAGTGTCCTCTCCCATTGCTACTGCATAAACCAGGAGGTCATGAAGGCCGCTTGCTCAGAGATCAGTGTCAGCAGCATCTATGGCTTGTTTGTTACAGTCTCCACGGTAGGGCTGGACTCGCTGCTCATCTTCCTCTCTTATGTGATGATCCTCAAAACAGTGCTGAGCATTGCATCCCACGTGGAGCGCCTCAGGGCCCTGAGCACCTGCGTCTCCCACCTCTGCGCCGTCCTGCTCTTCTACGTGCCAGTGCTCGGCTTGTCTGTGATACACAGATTCGCGAAGAACTCTTCTCCCTTGCTTCTAATTCTCATTGGCTATGTCTACCTAGTAGTCCCACCCCTGATGAACCCAATTGTGTACAGCATGAAAAGCAAACACCTTCGTGCGAGGATAATCAGGGTGTTTGTCAAGTGAAGGGTCAGTTCATCACCAGGCTCCAGCACTGGTGACATGGGAGACAAAAAACAAAGGCCACCTATTCCATCCTGGACACTTGCATCTGGGAGGACAAGAGCTACTGATCTCCACTCTGTAGGGAAAGGTTCAGATGGGATCTAAGGTCTGGAGCAGTGGGAGAGCGGCTGGTGAGGGAGGACAGGACACTGGGGGAAGGAGACCAAGGCAGGCAGCAGCATTTGCAAAGTGACTGCGCTCATCAATAGCCAGGGGACTAGTGGGATATTGGCCCATAAAGAGCCATATCGGTGCCTGCTCCAACCTCAGAATTCCTGTTGATACAGTCAGTAAAGAGAAGGGACGTGGATGTTGTTTCCCATTACTCCTGGCCTGTCACTCTCCCGTCTCTGGTTAAACATCCAGGGGCCATGAGAAAAGCTGAGCTCTGGGATCTGTGTGATCCATGATTCCTGCACCAGCTGTGGACAGGGGCTATTCAAGGGGCATGGACACCCACCCTTCCCCCACGCCCTCAGCCAGGTGTTTGTGACTGAGTCATGTCAGAGGCCATGCCAGGAAAGGCCGCTCAAGCAGCCCACCCCCACCACCCCTGTTGACGGCTCTGCACACCACACGCTTGCTGAGTCCACTCCCTATCGAGGCAGGGCAGAGCTGCATGTGTGAGTGAGAGTTTGACAAACAGGAGTCCTGGCAAGAGAACTCAGGTTCCCTCCTCATCTGCTCCATTTGTGCTGCCCCAGCAATGCAAAGGGGTGGAAATGGGTCTCAGCTTCCACACAGAGGCATGGCTAACTCCTATCCCAGCCCAGCCCATTCAGTGTAGGGTGACCTCCCCTGAATTGCTACCCCCTTCTCCTCCTCTTAGGTTTGCCAGGGGTCCGGTTTTCGAGCAGAATGCCTGGTGAAAAAGGGACCCTGGTGGCTCTAGTCAGCACTACTGACCAGGCCATTAAAAGTCCAGTTGGCAGCACAGTGGTGCTAAGGCAGGCTCCCTGCCTGCTTGGTGCCATGTGGCTCCCAGCAGCCGTGGCATGTCCTTCCTCCAGCTCCTAGGCATAGGGGCATCCAGGAGGCTCTGTGCACTGCTCCTACTCCAAGCACCAGCTCTGCAGCTCCCATTTTCCAGGAACCACGGCCAATGGGAGTTGCGGGGGTGGAGTCTGCAGACAGGGCAGCATGCAGAGCCACCTGGCCGCACCTCCCAAAGGAGCCAGAGGAGGGACATGCTGCTGCTTCCAGGAGCTGCTTGAGGTAAGTGCCGCCTGGAGCCTGAATTCCTGACTCCTCCCACACCCCAACCTCCTGCCTCAGCCCAGAACCCCCTGCCATACTCCGAACCCATTGGCTCCACCCCCAGGCCTAGAGGCCATCCTGCACCCTGAACCCCTCATCTCTGGCCCCACCCCAGCCAGAGCCCTGACCTGATACAACATCCCAACACACTGCCTCAGTGTGACAAAGTGGGACTGTTCTTAATGTTTCCTCTGAATACTGTAGGGGTGCCTCAGTTTCCCCAGTGCATTTCTTAAGTCTCTAGGTGGTGGGTTAAGGGGGTGGGATTGTTGCAGAGCAAAGGGCCAGAGATGAGGATAAATGGCCGACACTCTGTCTCCTGGCAACTGCTGGCCTGGGCCCTTCCCCCCTGCAAGGTGAGAGCTAAAGGACTGGAGACCAAAGGAATCAGGTGACATCCTGGCCCAGGAAAGGAACAAAGCCAAGAGGAGGAGGGGCTGGAGGGTAAGTCAGTTTGGGCTGGCTGGGGACGAGGCGTGAAGTGCAGACGTGGTTGTCTGGCTCATTGCCCCCCCAGAATGGACCCAGCTGTGGGGTCCTGTTCTCTTTACCTACAAGCTCTGTTTTAGACTGTATTTCTATCATCTAATAAACCTCTGTTTTACTGGCTGGCTGAGAGTCACGTTTGACTGCGGAGTTGGGGGGCAGAACCCTCTGGCTTCCCCAGGACCCCGCCTCAGCGGACTCGCTGTGGGAAGCGCACAGAGGGGCAGAGGATGCTGAATGCTCCGAGGTCAGACCCAGGAAGGTGGAAGTTGTGTGAGCTGTGTGTCCTGCAGACAGTCTGCTCCCAGAGAGGAGACTTCACCCGAGTCCTGCCTGGCTCCGTAGGGAGCAGTTCCAGAGCATAGCCCGGGACTCCGTGACACTCAGCCCTGAGCCCCCTCCTGCATATTGAAATATTCATTTCTTGCCCAACCCCAGAGCCTGCACCCAAAGCAGAAGCTCTAACCCACTCCCTCATTCCAACCCCCTGCCCCAGGCAGGTGAAAATGAGTGAGTGAGTGAGGGTGGGAAGAGTGAGCGACAGAGCAAGGGGGGGATGGAGCAAGTGGGGGGCAGGGCCTTGGAGAAGGGGTGAGGCAGGGATGGGGCCTCAGAGGAGAGGCCGGGCAGAGGGTGGGACAAGGGTGTGTGGTTTTCTGTGAGTAGAAAACTGGCAACCCTACCTCCTCTTCCCCCAAGGCCCTGCCTCGGCCAGGCTGGGACCCAAAGCTGAGCCATGGTAAGAGCCATCCAGGGAGCCAGAGACACTGTGAGGAGCCCCAGACCCTCCACCTGCCCTGGGTGGGGGGGCCCAAAAGCAGCCCCCAGCCTGTGTCACCACCCCTCAGGACGTAGGGAAGGTGGAGAATCTCTTCCACTGATTTCTTCTGTGACCTCGGGCAACGCACTTAGTCCCTCCATGCCTCAGCAACATGTGTTTTAATATGGCTCAATGTAGAGGTTTACATCTAGGAAGAAGGGACACAGGCCATCCTTACCGAATGCGGGACCCAATCCTGGGATGCAGTGACTCTGAAAAAGACTTGGGGGTCATAATCAGCTGAACACGAGCTCGCAGTGTGGTGCTATAGATGAAAAGGCGAGTGCCACCCGGGATGAACAAAGAGGGGAATCTCGAGTAGGGGCAGAGGGATTGTTTTACCTCTGTGTTGGGCCCTGGTGTGAGCACTGCTGGGATCCTGTGTCCCGTTCTGGTGTCTACAGTTCAAGAAGGAGGGTGATATATTAGAGAGGGGTCCAGAGAGATCAGAGAATGATGAAAGGATTAGAAAACCTGCCTCCTAATGAGAGACTCACGAGGCTCAATCTATTTAGTTTAACAAAGAGAAGGGGAAGGGGTGACTTGATCACAGTCTGTAAGCAGCTGCATGTGGCTCTTCAGTCTATCAGAGAAAGTTGTAACATGATCCAATGGCTGGAAGCTGAAGCTAGACACATTCAAACTGTAACTAAGGGGTAATTTTTTAAACAATGAGGGTAATTAACCTTTGGAACAATCTATGAACGGCCGTGGTAGATTCTCCATCGCTGACAATTGTTACATCAAGGCAGGAGGTTGTTTTAACGGCTCTGCTCTAGGAGTTATTTTGGGGGCAGGTCTCTGGCCTGTGCTAGGCAGGGGTCAGACTCAGTGATCACAATGGTGGCTTCTGGCCTTGGGATCTGCCCAGCGGTGTTAATAGCACTGCCCTGCCGCATGGGGTGTGGTGCTGATAAACATGTTACAGAGTGTGAGCTGCTCGGATGCTACAATAATTGGGGCCAGAGCTAAGTGCCTTAGAGAGATTTTAGCTCGGTGTGCCCCATAGGGACAATTTGGGGCAGTGGGTGGAGAACCTGAACTCTTCCCAACACCCCTTGGTGATGAGGCCTGTCATCAGCACAGCCCCCTTTGACGAGGGAGTTCCGGGCCCCTCCTGCAGCTCGGCAGTAAGAGGGGGAATCAGGACGTGCTTTCAGAGAGTGAAGGGTCTGGAGAGTGTTGTCTGGCTGAACAGAGCCCTGCTGGGCTGCTCCACGGTCTGATCCTGACCCTCACCCCCTCCATGAGCACTGAGAGCCCCTCTAGAGCTGCAGATAGACCTCACACCCTGCGTCCAAATTTCCATCATCACCAGATTTGGGGGTAGCCTGATCTGGGGGAGGGGGTTGTTTGGGTCCAATAGAGAGCTAGCAGCAGGCATTTGGAGCTGGGCTTGGGTCACACCCCTTTCTGTTAAGAACGTGCATGGCCTTGCTTAGCCGTTGTGTGCATGTCTCATGCCTGAGCAAGAGGAGGAGACCCTCTGTGCTGTGCCTGAGGAACCAGTGACTCTCCGAGCCCATCACTGTTATGTCCGGCTGTCTGTGGCCTAACCCTGTTCCTTACAACCGGAGGCTCTGTAGCCCAGTGCAGAGGGAAACAGTGTGTCTGCCACTGCTGGACTGTGTGACCAGAAATGTCTGCTAACCAACCCGAGTGCCTTCGTTTGTGGGTGCTCTGCCTGAGAGATGGCCAGCAGCACCCCCTCTTGGGATTTTATTGGGAGTCTTGCACTAGTTCCTGTCTGTCTGAAAGCCCCAGATTCTGGGATCACAAGACTGCTCGGGAATCTCAACTTTCAGTTTTCTTTAAAAAGTTTATTTAAAAAAGTGAGTTGCAGAGAAGCTAGAAAACCTGAAGCAGGTGACCCCAAAGGCTGAGAAACCAAAGGCACTTGAAAACGAACCCCCACATTAGTGTTTTTTTTAAATCCCATTATTTTTAAACCAATCTCATGATTTTGGGGGGAGTGTGACTCAGACTTGTTTAATGGACTTTGGTGACACTGTGAACCAAGTTCAGAAGATCTGAAAACCAACAAGCAAATGACACAAAAATTAACAGCGATTTTTTTTAAAGTACAGCTGAAACGGTCAGCCTGCCGAACAATGAGTGGGGTGTAACGATGCTGCCTCTGGTGGGAAGCTACTGAGAGTATCAGTTCAGGACAAATTGCTTAGAGCAGGGCAGTCACAGCCCAAGGCTGGGGGTCCTTTACTATTAGGGCACGCCAAACCAGCCAAACAGAGAGGACTTCAGTCTCACCCCATTGGCTAACCAGAAGTCATACAAGCAATTCCCTTAGACATTCCAGTTTCCCAGTATCACCATCAGCAGCCACTCCTTATCATAGAATCATAGACTCATAGAATATCAGGGTTGGAAGGGACCTCAGGAGGTCATCTAGTCCCACCCCCTGCTCAAAGCAGGACCAATCCCCAACTAAATCATCCCAGCCAGGGCTCTGTCAAGCCTGACCTTAAAAATATCTAAGGAAGGAGATTCCACCACCTCCCTAGGTAACGCATTCCAGTGTTTCACCACCCTCCTAGAGAAAAAGTTTTTCCTAATATCCAACCTAAACCTCCCCCACTGCAACTTGAGACCATTACTCCTCGTTCTGTCATCAGCTACCACTGAGAACAGTCTAGATCCATCCTCCTTGGAACCCCCTTTCAGGTAGTTGAAAGCAGCTATCAAATCCCCCCTCATTCTTCTCTTCCGCAGACTTATGGGGATGAATGGTTAAGAAAACCAATACCCCATTGAAAGAAAAAAGGTTCTCTCGATCCCAAAGGATCAAGCCCCAGACCCAGGTCAATATACAAATCAGATCATATCCACAAATCACGCTGTTGCCAGTCCTTTAGAATCTAAAATCTAAAGGTTTATTCATAAAAAGAAAGAAATATAGATGAGAGCTAAAATTGGTTAAAAGGAGTTAATTACATACAGTGATGGCAAAGTTCTGGGTTCAGGCTTGCAGCAGTGATGGAATAAACTGCAGGTTCAAATCAAGTCTCTGGAGTCCATCCACAGCTTGGATGGGTCATTCAGTCCTTTGTTCAGAGCTTCAGTGTAGCAACATTCCTCCAGAGGTAAGAAGCTGGATTGAAGACAAAATGGATGGGTTTCCAGGGCCTTTTATAATCTCTGCCATGTGGAAGGACACCCCTTTGTTCTTTCTGTGGAAAATCACAGCAGCAAGATGGAGCATGGGCAATCACATGTCCATGCATGACTCAGTTCCTTACAGGGAGAGCAGCCATTGCTCCCATGCTACTTTGAATGTTCCCAGGAAGACTTCTCATGTGGATTGGAGTCTCCCAAGGTCCATTGTCAGTTAAGTGTTTCTTGATTGGGCACTTAATCTGAAGAGTCCCTTCTCAATAAGCTGGCCAAATGCTTCACTGGTGCTACTTAGAATCAAACACATTGAGATACAAGTACATAGCCAATATTCATAACTTCAAATACAAAAATGAAACACACATTCAGACAGCATAATCATAACGACCAAATCATAACCTTGTCTTAGACACCTTATTTGACCTCCTTTATACAAGATTTGGTGCCATTACAGGACCTTGGTAACAACAATGATCTATACGGTCCCAGTTTATGTCAATAACATGACAAAGTACAGCAGAAGCGGTCAGCCTGCCAAACAACAACTGAAAGATCGAGGGTTAAAGGAGCACTCAAAGAAGATGAGGCTGTGGCCAGGAGGCTAAATGAATTCTTTGCATCAGTCTTCACTGCAGAGGATGTGACGGAGCTTTCCACACCTGAGCCATTCTGTTTAGGTGACAAATCTGAGGAACTGTCTCACACTGAGGTGTGAATAGAGGAGGTTTTGGAAAAAACAAACAGTAATAAGTCACCAGGACCAGATGGAAGCATTCTGATGGAACTCAGATAACAAATGATCAAATCAGACTACTAACTGTGGTATGTAAACTATGGCTTAAATCAGCCTCTGTATCCGATGACTGGCACATAGCTAATGTGATGTTGATGTTTATAAAAGGCTTCAGAGGGAATACAGGCCAGTACCGGTCAAATTGGTTGAAACAATAGTAAAGACCAGAATGATGAGACACATAGTTGAACACAGTTTGTTGGGGAAGGATCAACACAGCTTTCCAAAGGGAAATCCTGCCTCACCCATCTCTTAGAGTTCTTTAAGGGGGTCAACAAACACGTGCGATATGGTGATCGGGGTGGGGCCTTGGGCAGAAGGGGCGGGGTTGGGGTCAGCCTCCTCCAGCCAGCCCTTCGGTGCTGCCTGGCCTGTGCC